TAATGACTACCTTCCGTGTGCTGAGTTACTGGAGATTTATAATCACGTTTATAAATTCCAAGAAAGTAATTAGACTTTAGGTGTTGCAAATATATATTAGTATCAGTGTATGAAGCTTGCTCTTTACCATTCGCGAATGTAATTTTCCATAAAGCCACCGAATCATAATTATTTGCAAAAACCTAAATTAATTTAATAAATATAATTATCAATTTATCTAGCATGAAAATATCTATAAAATGACATACCAATTGAGCTCTACTTCCAGTTTTATAACATATCCACTAATTGAACTTAAATATTTTCCTGTAGCAACGTGTTTTAAAACTACAATGGATCCATTTCTAATTAAATTTGATTCATCCATAGCAATTTCCTCAAATTCTTTAATTAATTCATTTATAGATTTAATTTTTTCTTTTCTCTTAGAAAATTCATTATAAAAATAAAATTTTGATGAAAGTGTTTGTTTAATGTGCTCCTTTTGTTCCTCAATATCGTCAATTTCGGCATTATAACATAATTGGCGAAAGTTTAAAATAAATTTTGAAGATTCGCCGTCTTCTCTCTCGGGAATATATTTTAATAATTGCAATTTCCTTTTATTTGTATTCTTGAATACTGTAAAGGTAATATCCTCTTTAAGTGCATTACAAAGTTTTTCAAAACTATCAATTCCACTTGGGAGTTTGATGGTGGCATTCACTAATGAAATTGCATAATTTATATGAATATTATTTTCGTCATATTTTGCAAAAAAAAGTCTTAAATAGGTTTGAATATCATTTATCCATTCATCTGGATGAATATTTCCGTCATATTTTGGAAAGTTCATTTTTTTTTTTATTTTTATATGTTTATTTTTATTATTAAAAGAATTGGGGAAAAGGGGTGCCAACGTTTTGTAAGATGGATTTAATCTTCATTTATCTTAATTAGTATTCACTTGCCAAATGCAGAAACAAAAAAAATTCAGCTTAAAATCATGTTTAGGATCATTTGAATCACAATGCCTCGTGACTTGATTCACTAAAATTTTATGAATATATATATATAAATAAAGATTTTTTTCACAAATTTTTGTTTTCTTTTTCATAATTGCTTCGAGAAGTGTATCATTATATTGACTCATAAAATTTTGACTTGTGAAATTCTAACATAAACTCTTAAATTTATTTGGATTATTTGATTAGCAAATTTCTTTTATACCTTAATATGAAGAATTACAGAATTTTATCATTTCACATTATTTCTTTATGAAGTATTAATTAATAATAATGTATACCTAACGAATCGTATTCGTGTGACTCGAGTCAATTCGAGTTAAATTTTGATTCGAGTCAAAATTTTAGATATTAATTAATTCGAATCTAGGATCAATGCTTATTCAAGTTAACTACTCGATTTCTTACTCGAGCTAACTACATAAACTTCGAGTGCATTCAACACTTTAATAAGGTACCATACAATTTATTTCTTAAATTCTAGCCTGAGATAGTAGGTGAAATGTTATTTTTATAGTATTTTTTTCATCAGTAGATAGATAATCGAATTTATATAATTGATGTTTTTCTTGGCGAAAATTAATATAATTCAAATAATTCATGCTTTAGTTTATATTAATAAAAGTCGTTACTTAAGATACCGGCATTGTAACGATTACAAAAAAAAATTTTTTTTTTTTTCTAAAATTCGTACTACTATATACTACAATTAAACTTTAATTTCAATACTTCAATTAAAAATATATAAATGCATAATTTGATAAATATAATATATTGATACAAAATGTAAAATACAATTTCATTTATTATTTTATTTTATAATGTTATTTTAGTTAACTTTTCGCTAATAAATTCAATTTCGACAAATTTCTAAAATAGGAAATAGCCGTTCCATGAAAAAAAATTGAACTCGAGTTAATATTCGAATACACAGTATTCGAATGCTAACTCGAATCAAATGCTTGAATTCTGACATGGGTATTCTTCGAGTCAAAAAAATTCTTGATTCTACTTGAGTTAATTTTTTTTTGACTCGAGTCTAACACATTCATTCCTTTATTGAGGTTGAAATCGGTTAAGGTGGTTAACTTGTTAACCGGTTCAAGAGTAAATCAGCTACTAGAATTAAGATTTTTAGGATCTGTTCCAAATTTATAGTGCAGACCTGAGCTAAATTTAACCGGTTAAAATATGTCTTGGCAAAAAAATCCCTTATAGTTTCGATGGTACCATCGTAACTATAATATAATATTATTCAAAATCTGTCAAAAATCGAAGTGAAAGGTTTCGACTTTTAACATTAAGTAAATGACTTTTGTCTTTTTGGGCAAATATAAATATTTTCCTTTTTTTGATTATTTTTTACATTTAGCTTAGTAATAAAATTATTATTAAAAATGATTATCCATGTTATCAAAAAATCCTGTTTATCAACAAGTAATCTTTATACATAGCAGGGAGCTTTAGATAGTTTTGTTTAAAGTAGTAATTACTTTGAATAAGTGTGCTTGTATTTATTATTTTAAAAATAATTTAGATTGTTATTATTAGATTTTATTATAATATTTGTAAAAAAGTTAAGAAATTAAAATCCAAATGTTGATATTAATTTATTGTATATATCTTGTAATTGGTGATATTCTATTATAACTTGTTCATCTGTTTTTATTGAATTGTGGTCAAGTGCAATCAAAGTTAAGGAGTTTCATGTTTTAGCATGACTGATTGCAACATATGCTTGCCCAGCTGCAAACATTTGTGAATCCAATGGTATTGTAACATTTGATAGTATTAATTCTTGAGTTTTATGTACTGTTAAGGCATAAGCATTTTGTATAGAAAATTGATGTCTAGATGCTAATTGTCTATTATAATTGAATCTATCAGTTGTTTTATTTACAGATATATAGCAAAGACCAGATTTTGTTAGAAATGCTACATCAATAAGTTCTTCATTATGAATTTTCATTATAATGTCAATTGAGCTATTACAGATTTCATTATCATATAAAGTGTTATTAAGAAACATAATACAGGCTTCTTTTTAAATTTGAACTGTATCTGGAAGGTTTATATATTTTCTAAAATGTTTATTACACTCCAAGGTTCTTTATTAAGTTTATCTTAAGTATATGATATAAATGATAGATCATAAGATTCATCAATTGGCAGATAAGACATAGTTATTTCATTAATTCTATCAGCAATATATTGATATCCCAATATATAAGTTATTTTTAGGAGAGATTTAATATTTGAAGGTGATATTATGTTGGCTTTTTAATTTCTTTCATATTTCATTTGTAATTGATTAAATCGTATTTATTGTAGAATTTCAAAAAACTCTACATCTTCAGATTGTCTTCTAAGTGTAAAAAGAATAATAGTATGAAGTAATCCTATGATACTAATTCGAATATAAATAATGCATTAATGGAAAATAGTTATGCTAAATCTCTAACTAATAGGACCATTATTTCACCAAAAGGCAAAATATAATTATGTAGTTCACAAAATATCTTATTAATAAAATCTAGTAGATATAGAGATTTCATCAATTATAATAGCATTTATTTTTTTTGGTCTAGTTTTACTTTCAGCATTTCTTATGGTCAATGATGTATAATTACTTGATTCTGACTTTATTTGTAGTTCAGAGTATATAGTCATTTATACTCTGTGCAGCAATACCAGTCAGGACTATAAGTAGATATCTTTTATGATTATTAATTAAATAATCTGTAATAAGTTTTATTATATAGGATTTTTTACTTCATGCTGCTCCTGTTAAAAATAGCATAGATGTTTATCTTACTGAGTAGTTTTCCAGCTTAAAGTCAAAATATTATAATTAAAATATTGATTATCTATACTAGTTATTGATAAATATCTTGGTAAGTAAGGAACTGGATTAATTATTGAAGTTAATTATTCATTTATTAATGCTTATAAATCAGTATTCAAATTTAAAGTAATTTGTTAAATTAGATAATGATAATTTTGTATTATTAGATTATATTGAATTATTGATTTTTATTTTATATTAGTTGTTAATTTTTGATATTCTTGAAAGAATTTTGATTGAAAATGTTCTTTATATGTGGTAAAATTGTTTAATAATTCTATATCATTATAAAAGAAAAATCTTAATAATAATTGTTAGTAGAAAAATTTTTCTTCAGATTTGATAGTAGTATGATAAAACTGTACTAATATTAAAGCTTTGAATGGTTTGGATTAATCTGAAGATTTTTCAGATCAGATCAGTTTAGTTCAGTTTCAGATTGCATAAAAATTGATCCAAAAATTTTTGGCTTAGTTCAGATTTTTTTCGAATTATAATTCTAATTCAAACTGAAAAAATCTGAACTGAACTGAACTGAAATTTTCAATTCAGATACAGATTAACATCTAATTCAGACTGAACAAAACTATTTAGAGCTTCAACTAATATATCTTTTTTTCTTTTTACTACATATTTTCTATTAAGATCTATCCAATATTATCTGTTTAAATTTGTTAACTTAGAACATATTTGATATTGCTGATGATATTTTGAATATATTATTTCATCAAAGATAGGATTTTAAGATCTTTTAAAATATTTGTCTATTGCATCATCTCAGTAGGGATTTTTATTATCATTTAATATTAAATAAATAAACTTAACAGATTTTGATCTGAAAAAAGGCAGTACTAAAGGTAAATATTCAACTGCTATTGTAGATTAATAAAGTTTATAGTTAAGAATAGTACCATAATTTCTAATGAAGAAATTCTTCAAGCTATTATATGTTGATGATAAGTATCATGTTCTTTCAAATTAAATGCTCCTATAGGCTCAGCTTTTGTTATATATTTTATAATGTAATGAACAAAAAATTTTGAAGTAACATATATAAAACAACAATAGGTTTGTCATAATAATAAGGTTAGTATATAGTAAGGAACTACCTATTAGTCTTTTAATTTAGTCCTTTTGTAAAATATAATAATATGAATCAGGTAAAGTATAAGTTGTATTTAATAATAGTTATGGAAATCCTTTAGAATATCTTTTATCAGATGTATAAAAACTATTGCATGTTTCAGATCTATATTGATGAATTTGATATTTCATCACAAGTTCATATAATTTAGGTTCATATTCTGGATTTAGTATATCAGCTCTAATTATATTTAAATTAATTAATTTTTCAATTAGCTTTTCTAACTATGATACTCTATAAATATGGATAGTATCACGATTTTGAAATTCATTTCTTTCCCAATGGTGAATCCATTTACTCTATTCTAAAAGCTTTGTATTTTTCTATAGTTTATTTCTTATGGATTCTAATTGATGATGATAATGTTAGTACTGTATATATGTAATGGTTTATTTGTAGAATTGGTATTTTTATTATCAGTTAAAGATAGTATAGATTTAAGATTATTCCAGCTATTTTCATTCATCGTAGTGATATAAAATATTTAAATAATAGGAATGTATCAACCATTGTTTAAACTTGAAGTTCTTTTTCTTTGAAATAAGTACTACCAGTTTTAATATAAGATGGTAATGTATTGTAATGTTTTCATTGATAATTGGTCTATTATTATATATACTTGTAATGATTAAATCTGTAGCAATTAAACAGTTTAGCCTATTTATATAATTTTATCTTAAAATTCTTGCGTGATTTTGATAGTTACGAATTTTTTCTAAGTTCATATATAATCAATGTGGTTAATATGAATGTAACTAAAATTTGAGATCTGGAGATAATAGATAATGTTTAATATATCTTTGATAACTATCAATATATATTTGTTTATTAGGATTGCTATTATAAAAGCTTATTCCTGTTAGAAAGAAATCTGAAAATAGAAGAACTTCTAGATGCTTATTATTGTAGAAGATTAGAAGTTATTTTTCATCTAAATCATTGATAAAGCTAGCCATTAATTGATTATAATGAAAATCTTCATTATAGATTTCTGTATTGAAGTTATAGGAGAGCATTATTAATTCAAGATGATTTATGAGACGATTTGAAGAAGTTGAATTTTGAGTATCAAAAATTTTTGCCATTAAAAAAGCTATTTTTAAACCATTTTCATTTGTATATAATACAGTATGAGTATATAGTTTAAAAAAAGGATTATTATTTTTAAGCCAAAGTGTGGCATTATTTAATAATTCATGATACCAGTTTTAATTTGAATTATTTTTTAAAATAGCATTCATTATTTCAGAATATTAAAATAGTATACAAATATTCTTAGAAAGGCCAAATTTTCCTGATAAAGTTTTATAATTTGTATATACATTAGAATTTGGAATTTTACCTAAAAAACAACCTAAAAATATTAGAGAAGCCAATATCTATAGTGCATTAGAATATTTTTAATTTCAAGCAGTATTTTAACAATATTTAGAGATAGTCTAAGTGGCCTTAAATCTTTGCAAGAAGAGCAAACAGCAATTTTAGAAGGATCATTTATATATTCGACTAGCTCTTCATTAGAAAATGTTACTGTTAAAGAATAGATTCTGTTATTTTCCTTTTGGATCCATTTTGCATTTATTAAAAGTATAAGTATTGAATAGAATGAGCATGGTATTGATGGAAATTGTATTAAAATTTTTTTATTAAATCGATTTTGTAATAATATTAGCTCTTTATAAGGTCTCTAATATAAAGAAGTTGACTGAAAGGTTAATCGATAATTAGTATTTGATATTATTAGATTATTTAAATTCTGATAATAGTGAAGTTTTGCACTATTCCAAATTGAATTATTATTTTCATTGGTATTTTGCTCAGAATTAAAGTTATCAAGAAAGTAGTTTACAAATCAGATTGTTATTTTGAATATTTGTTATTGAAGGTATGATTTTCTTTTAGTACTTAATTTGAAGTATCTATGTAGAATTTAATAGATAATATTTGATATTTGCTGTATTTTACTTTATTTATTTATTTACTTATATAATTTGTTAATTTGTTATAATTATAGTATAACTAATTAACATTTTATTTAATTATTTTATTATTTTTTTTGCAAATAAAGAATAAAAATATGCTTATTTTATTTTTGATTTAAATTCGTCTTTTTTTAATATATAAATAAAAAAAGAATTTGTATTAATTTTTCAGAATGTTTTTAAATATTATTTATTATCTATTGTAATTTAGTGTTAATTTAGTCACAACATTTATTATTTAATCATTTTTAATTTAATTTTTTTTTTGACAAACAATTTTTTTGCATTATCAATTATAATTTTTATAAGATTAACAGATTGGAATTAACTTTATAAAGAAGCTATTGATCATTTTTGGCTTATAATTTTTTTGCGTTATTAATTATAATTTTTATAAGATCAGCAAATTGAAATTAACTTTATAAAGAAACTGTTAATCATTTTTGGCTTTTTTTGTTTGTTTTAAATAAATTTGTTATGCTATATCTAATATAATTCATATGATCAAATCAGGCTTATTGATCATTTTTGGATTTATTATTTTTTTTTGCTTTAATAATAAATTTATTATGCTATCAATCCATATGATCTGTCAAATCAGCTTATTGATTATTTTTGGCTTTATTATTTTTTTTTGTTATTTTAACAAAATTTATTTATGTTATTATGATTGAATCTATCAGTCATTTATATTTTTATTGTATATTTTTATTTTTTTTTAATTATACGAATTGTTATTTTATATATATATATATATATATAAACAGTATAGAAAAAAATGATTTGAAAATTTTATTTCATAAAAAAATAAAAAATAAAAAATAAAAAAGAGTTAACAGATAATTAAAATAAATTGTTTATATTATTAAATGTATCAATTTTTAATATTGTTTATGCAGTTTATTCCAAAAATTACAATTTCATAATTTTCTCAAAAAAAAATTTTTATATAAACAAACGCGTAAGAGGGATTTAAGTGGGTGGAAGAAATGCTCTTAAATGGTTTAATATTAATGTATACATACAATATATATACACATATACATATGTGTATAAATAAGATAAGTTTTTGATGTATTTCTATTTTAGGATGCTGATCTTCCTATTTTAACATCGATCTTCTTATTATATAATAAAAATTATATTGTCCTCATTTTTATTTTAATACAAGAGTCATCAAGTAATCTTTTAGTATGTAATAACTATATAAATAATTTTTCAATTTATAAGATTACTTTTCTTTAGATTATAGATTTTGATACAGGTAATATCATTCGATTTAATTAATTTGAATTTTGATAAAAATTTGCATTATAAGTTACAAGCCGTCTCTCCCTTCACGCAGTAATTTGTTTCCATTTATAAAATAAAAATTTCATGACATCATTTTTTAAGAGTAAATTTATTCATCACGGGTGCGATATCATCATCTCCTTTTTGTCACCTATGTCACACCCCTACCCTTTTTCATTTTTCATATATATTCTAGGGATTTAGAAATTTTTTCACGAGTGGACCCTATTCGTCACATATATTCGTATCACATAATTTAGAATTAGGTTAGGGTTAGGATTAGAGTTAGGGTAAGGTATATATATAAAGGCGATGTATAAGGAGTATCGCCCCTGCGATGAATAAATTTACTCATTTTTTAAATATGCAAAACATAATGTTATAACCTCTGTTCCTAGAAAATAATTTCTGAAAATAATATGACTGATGAGTATACAATAATTTTTTGACCGTTTACGTATTAAAAAATTAATTCATCTATTATTAATCACGATTGTTAACTGATTAGGTTGAATTAGCTTTAGACAAATATTTAGAAATGTTTAATTATATTGAGATAATATTACCTTACTTTTATACTTACTATTTGTACTGAAAAATAATAATGCTTTTTAAAATTGGTTTTACTTGTATTTGGCTCATAATTTTATATTAAACGCATACATTATAAATTTGATATTTTTGTTAAAAAAAAAATTGGCATCCTAAATATGATTAGGACAAATCAAATAGACAGTGTATTACTTTTATCTAAGAAGAATAAAAATGCGAAAATATTAAATCACTGCTTAAACCATTGGTTTTCTCGTGAATTGAATGAATTTTGAGCATAGAATTTATAAGATACAGAATTAAATAAATTTAATTCTACTTAATGAGTTCAATGCACCACTAATGAAATAAACATATTTTAATAAAACGAGGAAATGAATTCAATAATAAAAAAAAAAATCTTACATGTACCTCATCATTGCCACCAAGTCTTTCATTATGACAGACAACTTCTTGAAAACTATCATTTCCAATAATAAATTGAAAATCATGACTACGTAAAAATTTTTTATGAAAATTGTTTTCAATGTTAATAATATCATTTGACTTCAAATATCCTTGATAATTTTCTAATTTACTATTATTAAACTTCCATTGAGTATAATGGTAACTATCTTTTGGGTTACAACTTACTAAAATTAAATAATACATCAATATTAAAACCCTTTTTAAAAATATATTTGAAATAAAAAAAGTTAATAACTACCTTCCGTGTGCTGAGTTACTGGAGATTTATAAAATTCATTATAAACATAAATTCCAAGTAAGTAATTAGACTTTAGGTGTTGCAAATATATATTAGTAGTATTGGTGTATGAAGCTAGTTCATTGCCGCTAAATGTGATATTCCATAAAGCATCCGAATCAAGCAAATTATTTGCAAAAACCTAAATTTATTAAATTATAATTATAGAAAATTTTTATCTAACATAACCAAATATTTATAAAAAGACATACCAATTGAGCATAGCTTCCAGTTGTATAACGTAAATCACTAATTGAACTTAAATATTTATACGTAGCAACGTGTTTTAAAGCTACAATAGATCCGTTTCTAATTAAATTTATTTCATCCATAGCAATTTCCTCAAATTCTTTAATTAATTCATTTATAGATTTAATTTTTTCTTTTCTCTTAGAAAATTCATTATAAAAATAAAATTTTGATGAAAGTGTTTGTTTAATGTGCTCCTTTTGTTCCTCAATATCGTCAATTTCGGCATTATAACATAATTGGCGAAAGTTTAAAATAAATTTTGAAGATTCGCCGTCTTCTCTCTCGGGAATATATTTTAATAATTGCAATTTCCTTTTATTTGTATTCTTGAATACTGTAAAGGTAATATCCTCTTTAAGTGCATTACGAAGTTTTTCAAAACTATTAATTCCACTTGGGAGTTTGATGGTGGAATTCACTAATGAAATTGCATAATTTAACAAATTATAATTTGCAAAAGTGTTTAAATAAGCTTGAATTCCATTTATCCATTCATCTGGATGAATATTTCCGTCATATTTTGGAAAGTTCATTTTTTTTGATTTCTTTATTTTATTTTTTTATAGTATTTGGGTAAGACGGACTTTGGTCTTTATTTATCCTAATTAGTATTCACTTGCCAAATGCAGAAACAAAAAAAAAATTCAGACTAGCACATCACTATGACACACGACTGCGCCTCCGCAACACTGCTTCGATTGATAACATCTCAGGAAAATATAAGCGGCTTGCAGATTTGTTTTGAACTCGCAAATTCTTAATATCAAGTGATATTTAACGCTTTTACAAATCAGATTCTTCAAATTCTTTGCTATAAGAATTTGAGGCATTAGACTTTTTACAGAAATTTTTTTTATTGTTGACGAATTGCCCACGTAGCCACATTTCGTAATAAAACTTCTTTTTATTCGTATAAAAAATCGCATGATAACGTGATAATAGGTAGTAAGGTCGTTATTTTATTTAATTCTCTCTTATGAAAGGACTAACGCAATATTTTCGGTAATCTAGATAGTTTTAGCTAGAAAAAAATAAATCTTTTTTTTTTTAAGATGGAAGGAATGACATCCAAGGGAACGTTTTTGAAATCCGGTCCATGCCCAATGATTCTCATAAATACAAGCTGGGACGTACTTTGTCTCTTGTGGACTTTATATGTCAGGATTCCCTTCGGGAAAGCGACACTCAAGAAGCACAAGCAGTAACTTACAAAGAAGCTGAGAGTTTTGAGCAAACAGTTCATTAATTGGAACAAGACCGATAATTTATTATTGCTGATAGATTATTAGGTTTTTTTTTTTTAAAAAAAAAAAAAGATATTGCGATTGTATTTGCACCTCGAATTAATCTATTCTTCTTTAACTAATATTAAAAAGAAACCACTAGTTAATAAAAGTTTTATTGAAACATTTTCCGTAAAATTTATATGATTTATTTACAATTTTACAAATATTAATATGAATTACAACTTTTAAAAGGACGTAAATGCTTGCGCTTAGCCAGAATAGTACATACTAAACCGTTTCTCCTAAACGCCGCGTAGAGGTGGCAAGCTCGTTTAGGTAAAGAAAACTTGAACCATCACATATCAAATTTGATAGTTCATTTTAGGTGAAAAGAAAATGTTGAAGTCGAATATAATGTGGGTATAAATTTGAAAAAAAAAATAAATAAAAAGTTAACCTCTATACAAACATCGAAATACATAAAGAAAGCATATAAATATAGTAAATAAATAATAATAAATTCTTAACAAAAAATGAATACGGATGAAGTGGCCAAAAGAGGAAATATTATAATTGCAAAAAGGAAAGACGAAACAGCCAACTTCATATAATATATACGATACCTTTGTATCGTAGTCATGCTTATCTAAAGATAAACACCCTAGTGAAAATTTATTAAAAGGGAATTTTTTTTTTATTTTTTATTTTTTTTCATTTTTTTTTCATTTTTTTTTTTTTTTACTTTAATTTTAATTTTTAAATTTTTGTGCCGGCCAAGACGGCAAAAGAAGAAGAGGTAGCCAGTTAAAAACGGAGGGGGAAGGGATAGAAACCATAATCAACGGCTACGTAAGAACCAGGAGGATCAAGATCCATTGGTTCGGGCCACTGATTAGGGGGGATAAAAGGGGTTTCAACAAAAATGCCAGGTGGATCAAGATCCATCGGCTCTGGCCACCTAAGAAGACGATAGTGAATAAAAGGACGGTAAAAAGCTGGGAGGGTAAAAGTAGGGGTAGAAGAAGACGAAGAAATGGAAGAAGTAGAAGGAGATGAAAAAGGGGATGAACTTAAAGAGGGGGAAGGAGGAGAAGCAGCTGTTGGAGAAGGGGAAGGAGAAGAAGATACAGCTGTTAAAGGAGCTAAAGAAGAAGGAACTGAAGGGGGGATGGAAGAAAGGGAAGTTGAAGAAATAGGTCGTCGCCTTGGCGCGACAACCGCACGAATGACTCCTTGAACGCGAACCTGTCGTGTTTTTCGAGTCATCGTTTAAAAGATTCCTTGAAATAATAAAATGTAAGTTATTATTTGGCTTATTTCTTTTTTATAAAAAAAAAAGAAAAAAAAAGAAATTACAAAATTAATACCCACCAAAAGTAAAGAAAAAGTTGGAATAAAGGTAAAAGAAGTTGTGGGATCCTCTATTTATTTTCCAAGAAACAAAAATTGGCCAATGAACAATCATCATTTACGTCATTCGTAAATAACAAGAATGACGTCATATACTAAGTCCTAACCTTAGATAGCGATACCTGTTTTTTTGCGTCGGCTTTTAAAAAATACTTGCATATACTGTATTTAGTCATGAAAAATTAAAGAATAGTGTTAATAGGCGATTAATAAATAATTTCTTATTTAACAAATTTACCTCCTTTTTATTACAAAATGCCCGTATGATCAATAATTATATATTTAATCACAAGATTGAAACTGCAATTAAAAATGCTATTAAAATGGTAATTTAAATTTAGAAGTTAAGAATTTTCTTAATCTATTAATTATAAAAAAAAAAAGAGCTTTTGAAGAAATTAGGTAAAATAACGACGCAAACTCCAAATATTTAAATTAAATAAAAAAAAAAAAATAAAGAACTTCTGAATTTCCGATTAACGATTCCACTAAACAAAATTATGAACAAATTCTGGAATCGTATTCTAAAATAAAATATTGACTTATTTTTATTTTTTAAAAAAACAAATTAATTTCCTTGTCGAATTTTAAATTTTGTCAAATACTGATCCTAAAATGCCTATCTTAAATGGTATGTCGCAATAATTTACAAAATGCAATAAACATTGAAATTCGCTAAAAAAAAAATTCCCAGAACCTGATTTTCCTAGCAATCTTCTATAATACCGATAATAGATTCTGTATCAATGATTGAATAATTTGAATGATCTGGTGCTTTTAGGACTTAGCTTTACTTGTTACAAGTCTATCATTATATTCATGCTATCATATATTATAATTTATATACATATGTTTTCACCTATTTTTGCTAGCTCAGCCTGATTGATTGAATAGTTTTCGGGCATTGGAATAATAAAGTAAGACTGCCGCGCCAATGTATTCCCTGTTCGGGATGACAAGTATATTCTCCGTTGTTGGCTTGGTATCTGTAAACTTAAACGATAAACTTTTAATTCAATCCGTCGAATTAAATACAAGACAATATCACAATCACGCCTATATGAAGACACGACAAAAGGCAATAGTAAATGAATTTAACGATTCCTTTATTGAACTCTTGGTTTATCCTAAAACCTCAACTTGAGTTACTTTTCAACTCAAGAGAAAATACAAGATATTTATATAAAATGAAATAATATAAAATCAACTATAACAAATATAATAAAAAGAATAAATAATACAACTATGATAAATATAATATATATAATAAATAGGATATAATAAATATAATAAATATAATTCATTTATCTAATTTGTCCACTTGATCAACATTGACCAACTTTAGCAACTTTATCAACTTCGTCAACTATGTCGATCATTTAGATCACATGACTTATTTTTAGCGCAGTCACGGATCACGGCTTCAACGTTAAAAAAATATAATAATTTTGACTTGATATTATCAATATTAATTTTATCAAAAACAAACGCTGATTTTCAGGTTATCGATTATATATGTCGCTTGATATACGTATTTATAAAAAAAATACAAGTATCATTTTCATATAAAAGGGTAATTGTTTTATAAACTAATTGAGCATTTATTCATTAAATTATTTAAGGTCGTACACTTTATTAAAATAATTAAGTTCCGACCATTATTAAGATTCATCAACTTTATTATATAAATTCCCAACAATCACTTCATTTTGACAAATTAATATTGCATTGTCTCTCCAATAGTTGACTAAAATTAGAAAGTTTCTTATATTAACCCTATATAAATAAAATTCATTTCGATGATTCATTGGTATTAATGTAAATTAAACATCAAAAAAATGAAAATTTTCAGAGAGAGGGTAGAAAAAAACCCAGCATACGCTAACAAATTATGTAGCTTAATTTATAGTACTGGCCTAAGTTGATTTTAACCGGTTAACGAGAATTTTAACCAGTTATTAACCGGTTAAAGAATTTTTGGCCGGTTCCAACTTTCTACCTGTGAATTCAACTAATTTGACCTAATTCTGACAAAAGACTTGATAAACTGTTATTAGATCATCAGACGCGTGAATTCTTAAATTAAAAATACAATTTATAGTATAGCGGTATAAGCTCTAGACCATTGTAATCTCGACGAGTAAAAACTAATACCAAAAAAAATTTTTTCTTTTAAATTTTTTTTTATATTTTTACCAAGGGTTACAAAGTATGATTATTTAAATTATTTCATTATATTTGAACGTTTTATATCATAAAAATTTATTATTTGTTGAAATAAAGCAGTGAATGGAAACATCATTGATTCAGACTCATACCTCGTTCTCTAAGCATACTTTCAAACGGTATGTTTTACATTTAAACACCATTATACTAGACGTATAAACTTATCTATAATTTAATTTGTTTATAATACATCTTTAATCACTTTACTCAAATAATGAAGTTAGAGATAAGCCATTGATAATTTTGATAATTTAAAATAGCTTTCTTAACGCATAACTTCTTAGTAGCGTTTTTTTTTTTGTTTTAAAAAAACAAAGGAATAACTATGAGTTTCTTGTTGAATGTAAATAAATTTTCCCAACTAATTGTACTAAAATTTTCACCTTAGGAACTAAGTAATTTTTAATAACGAACCTATTTAGTTGGTCGTCAATGAAGGAAGAAATTGCAGAGGTGATAAATCGAAATCTTCTAATAACAAATAATTGCGTTATTTATTATTTAAAGTTTTGCGTCACTTATTTCTCCATTTATAAATATAATATTCGCATTTCCCTCTAGTTGAGGTATTACTCGATTTATTTCTAAATTAGGAGTAACTTGATTCAATGCACTTGAATTCAGTTCGAATGGCACGCCAACAGCTGAACAAATTGTTTATTTTTCGATTTAAATGCTAAGTATGATCCATTATTATTAACAAAAATCTTTCATGATAGGAATTTCGTAATAATCGACAATGAAATTTTTCCCGAAACGACGCAAATGTTAAGTAAAAAATTTAACGTTAATCTAAACTTCTTTGGGACCTTTCCGTTTCAAATCTTTGTTATCTATTCCGACCATAAAATTTACAATATTTTTTGCCTGCAAAAAATATATATATATATATATTGTTGTAAGTGGACGTTCAAGATTAAAAAATTTTCCAAATTTTAAGAGAATTCACGGCCCGATAATTCGTCAAACAAAAAAAATTTAAATAATTTAAGATAATTTAATGAAAAATCAAAAGAAAATTTTTATCCCGAGAGCTAAAAAACAAATACCTCGAATGATAAAAGCATTAAGTTCTACGTCACAAATCTGAATCATTTATTGTTGCAGCTCGAAGTTATCAAAGGCGAAAAAAAACCAAAAGGACTTGAAAGGAGAATCTAGAAATGGCTAACATCTTGATTAACGCCTTATTATTTTTTTCTAAGCTAAAAGTAGTAATATAAAAGAAATGATTAATCTTTTTATTCTCGATCTAACCAGGTTTTAATAAACCTTCCATCAAATAATGTGGCATTAATTATGATTCATATATTAAATAATACATCATTTGATAGTCAAGATGTGTGGCGTAATAATCTAAATATGTTTGTCCTTTTTTCTTTTC